AATCTAAAATGGAGGCAGCTTGGCCAGCTGAGATAGTGGAGGTCTTGTCATCTAAATCCAAAGGAATGGATCTCAGCAGCCAGATTCCAGGAGAGAAGTATAAGCAGAAGGATACCACAACAGAGGAGTGCTGTTACTTGGTGAATGGCAACAATGAAGGTGTAGAAAATATGAGGATGATCAAGAAGAAAGAAACTTTGGGGGTTGCCACGAAGAGGATGATCTGGGTCAACTCAATTTTGGTCATAATGCTGCTATTTTTGCTTGCTAAATTAGTGTCATCATTTTATCTTCCTTCTGATAATTCTTCTGTCATCCTGTGAAGTTTCTAGTGTTGAGAAGCAAAATAAAATATCTATTCTGTTAGATTTCATTTTTCCAAGACCCTTTTCCATGCTTGATTGTTCAATATTTGATCATGACTACTGGAAATGAGAATTTAAGGATGGTAAAAACAGGATTTCAATAATCTAGAAATTGAAAATGAGAAAGCGCGGGGAACAGGAAGATCACACCTAGTCGCTCCGCCCACCACCACCACAATAGATGATCCTCCCCTCCTCGCCATTACGACCACCACTTATCAGTGATACCTACAGCTGTGCCCACCCTACTAGCTTGAGCATTAACTAGATACAAGTGATGTCGAGGCCAGTCCTCCACGTTACCAGCGGAGTTCCTCAAACCTCCTTCAGCAAAAATGGTCGCAGAACTAAAGGTATTTCCCCTTTGAAAAGATATTTCATGTTCGTAGAACAAGCTCAACTAAACAGGATATAGAAAAGAATAACAATAGAATATGGAATCAGTAATCTGCTATGAAGAGAATCAAGAGTTCCTTACAACATTCTGTGTGGAGGCTTTCCATCCTGTCAAAAATATCTTTACAATTATATGCTCAACTATATCTCTTTTCTTCTATATACAGTGACCTGATGCAGACGTAGCTCAATTGGCTCCTGCTGGTTTATTTTGTGATGAGCGTCCAACAAATTAACGGGAAGTATGGAACTAACTACAAAAATCTCTTGGGAAACAGCAGAATCTCAGTTCTCTCGAGGACAAAACTTTGATACCCAAGCTTGCAACTGCAGGGATAAAATGTTGATTTGCTGGCTCCTTTTGGTTAACACTCAAGAAATTGGTGATTTTCCATAGAATTTGGCCAGCTGCAACCAGCAGACCATTCCAGAACACCGAGGATTAGGTCCACTCTTGAACAAGCACTGACCTGAGGGAGAATGAACCAATTCATGTGATTAGAATCTGATCATCTTGGGAGAATGAACCAATTCATGTGATTAGAATCTGATCATCTTCTAGAATTGAATGGGAGAAGGTGAGGGATAGTAATTTTTTTTATTTTTCTTTCAGAAGAGAGTATTAGAAGTTATTTTTTTATTTTTCTTCTGGAAAAGAGTATTAGAAGAAAAGTACAAGTGGGAACAGTAAAACGACAGAAGAATAGTCAGATGCATCACCAATTTTTCAAGGTTTGCTTCAACATGAAACAACATGACAGCCATTCCTCTCCTGTCAAGCTCCGCCTAAAATGAAAAAATGAAGATGCTATGGAATCAACAATAACTAAAAGCCAACAAAATTATAGATAAAAAAATCTAAACCACTCACCACACAAGAGCATATGCTGATGTCTGCAGCTGCCAGCGTTGTTGTGATCTCCCCCATTATCCCTAAAATTAGGGCAGTAAATATAAACATTAATGTGAAAGAACGAGGTTGACATTTCATAAGAACAATTTTTTAAACTAAAGATTTGCAACATGAAGGCACTCTATCTAGATGATGAATCCAAACCTCTGGAATAAGCTTATATGACCACATATATAGAAATCTAAGATGATCCATGTCACCACGGATGCTAGACAAAACCAGGAACCAGGTTAATCTAAAAGTAATTCCATGGTAGTCTGCTTTTCCTTTTTCTGCCTTTGCATGGTAGCCTGGTTAATTCTTAAACATTTTGCAATTTCAAGAGGAGTTTACTTTCTCACAACAGCTTGGATTTGACTGTCACTGGCATCCACCTATACTACAACCTTCATGAGGAAAAAGGAAAAAAAAACAAATCATTGTCATTAGAGGAATTACCTTTTCGATCTATGCAAACCACACAAAACCACTGGATAGAGTGTCCTTCAAGATTGTGCCAAGAAGCAATTTTGCTAGCTTGCCAACTCTCTAAACCAGGCACCACCTCCTTGAATATTGGAATGTTAGCAGGTATCATTTTTGCAGCACCATTGCCCAGTGATAATATCTTCTCACTGGCCTTTGAGCTCACATGCTGGACGTGTTTATTATGTTTGCCATTGATCTTTGGAACCCAAATACTTCCATTTTTAATGGGTAAGGCACCTTCACAGCTTCTTTCTGTGGATGATAATTCCACAACATTCATCCAGATTTGCTCCCACAGAGGTTTGCCGCTTCTTGAAATATCTGAGACCTCTTCCACCTCACTCTCTTCCTCAGAATCAGCAATGAATTTGTTCAATGTTTCTGTTGTTAATTCAGCAGCAGATAGTGCAGCTTGCTCTCTCAAGAACTAAAAACATAGTTTAGCAATCAGAGCATAGAAACTTAAAAAAGGTCAAACAAAATGTAGAATTATTAATCATTACAATTAAACCTACCCTCATAATTTTGTGTCTGGCACTACGTGTTTTTGCATGTGGCAACCACAGTTTATGCCTGTGAAAAGCTGACTTGCTTGAGAGTGCCTGTGACATGCAGAAAATTGTCAGCAGTGCTAAGAAGTAACAGAGGGTAATTTAGGTTGTAAATGCCACTTATTATATACCTACTGCAACTTGGAGAATTTCAAAAAGTCAAAAATCAAATGAAATACATAAGCAACTAGCAAAGCAACATGGTAGACAGGCCCCAGAAACAATAAGCTTTACGCTATTACTTCAACTAAGAATCAAAAACCTGCTTGCGTTACCATCACAATTAAAATCTGTAACTCTGAGAAAACTCTAAATTTGATGACAGGAACTGTTAGTTTCAGAGTTTGCTAAGAAATGTAATTGTCTGATATGTGCAGGAATTTTAAATTTCCATAAAAGTGAAATACAAACAAGAGAGTTGTAAAGAGTATGCAATGACCAATATTTACTCACATTATATGTGATTATTTCCACAACTTCAGCATTGGAAAGGACATGTGTGGGAGAAACAGGATTACCGTTGACCTGCAGAGAAATGCATGCACTTGACATTTACCAGAATTGCCACCATAAATGGAAAAAGAGCACCAAAAAAAAGCTATAAATAAGTAGAGAATACCTTTGCACCCACCATATTGTTGCCAATTTCAGTGTGTATCATGTAAGCATAGTCAATAATGGTTGCCCCCTTAGGCAAATTTTTAATCTGTTCAATACAAAAAATATTTCAACACAATAAGCAGCAAAACTTCTAAGTCCTAATAACTCTTAACTTTTAAAAGAAAAATAAATCACTATTTTTACCTCTCCTCTTGGGGTAAAGACAAAGACACGACTACCTAAGAGATCTCTAGTGATTGTATCTACAAATTCCCTAGAGCTCATGTTGCCTACAAACTCCTCTTGCCATTCTCTTATTGCATTGAGCCAACCCACCTGGAGGAAAGAAAAAACTTCATCCATACAATTAGCACCCTTGTCAGGGGACTTAGAAGAGTTTTATATGAATAAGTTGTCTCATAGAACTGTTAACATACCCTGAGTGCAATATTTGCATTATTAAGACAAACTTGCTTCCCTCTTAAACTTCTACCATTTGGCATTGCATGCCCTACTAGACCAGTGACAAACACTCTGCCACTATAATGAGCAGCAATGCCTCTTTCAGCTATCAGATTCATCGCTTCAGTTCTAATCTGTCAGAAACCAATAACCATTAGTGATCACAAATGTAGGAAGTCAGAATAAACTAGAATTGTCTCCCAATTCCCCAATGTAACAGAAATAAACAATCAAGAACCAGAAAATACCTGAACTTCCAAGCGAAACATGCTCTCATACAAAAATGGAATTACAGTAGTATGGAGACTTTGATAACCATTAGGTTTGGGTGTTGCTATGTAGTCTTTCATCTGTTAAAAACAATAACAAAAAAAAAGCCCAAAATTTATTGAAACATCAATAACTTTCCCTAAATTTTAGTAGAACTACATAGACCCAAGAGAAGAAAAGAAGCAGGGATACATACAGCCCGAGGGACAGGTGTCCAAATGCCATGGACCAACCCAAGAACATGATAACAAATCTGCACAAAGCAACTAATGAATAAGCTATATTATCGACTAATAGAGAGTAAATAAAAGACTGCCTTGGTAGAGCCAAGGATTCACCTGCTGTGGGCTGCACAAAGGTCCAACACTGACAGAAGGCTTTGGTTTTATTATAATCCGAAGCTGGTATTCATCAACAGGGAGAAACATATCAAAAAAGCAATTATAAAGAATCAGGAAAGCCTCATTTTAGATGCCATCAAATAGCTAAAAGAAATATCATAACATACCTGTGCAACTTGGTTAATCTCATTGATTGATGCTTTTGATTTCAGCACAGCTTTATAAACACTGCAAAACAAATAACCATGTTTTTACTAAGAAAGTTATCCTTCAAGATCCTATCAAGTCCCTACTTAAAAGTCAGATTATTGAAGCAAGCCATGTGAGGAAACGAAAATTAAGTTACCGGAATTCTTGGCTGCAAGCTAATATGCCAGGAATGACATGCTTAACAGGTATGGCATCTTATTTAGCTAGTAGTAAAAGGGCCAAATGGCACAACTCATTTTCCCTTGAAAATAGATTGGAGGAAAAAATCATGAGTCATATACTCAAATACCCCTTATTAAACCTAATAAACCAACTCCATAGGTGTGGCAGTGGTAGGTCACTTCTCAGATATACCCATGCATTATCCCACATACCTGGGGAAGTCATGCACATGAAGGTACATCTTGATCTTCTTCTAGAGAGTTATGAACAGTCTTTGGTGGTATACATGTAATGTAGCGAGATGTTATACCCAAAATGTGTAGAAACATGGGTATCATGAGAAAAAAGATTTGCCAACTATAAAGATGCGTGTATTTACCTGTAGGGTTCCTTACATACAGCATGAACTTCGGTTTTCACAGTCATAAGATCCAAGAATTCATCATCCTCAATCTTCTTCATTAAGATTTTATTTGCCTAAAGAAAAGGAAGGAAATTCATAAATAATGACTGACTGATACAAGATTTGCTAGAGATCCTCAAAACTTGTCACTCTCATGAAGGTAATGCTTCAAAGGGTGAACAAGATCACAACTAGCATATGTCCAAAACATTATTTTTGAAAGCAAGGTCAGTATTACCTCCATTAGTTCTTTCTCATGTTCTTTATAGAGTTCTGCAACTCTTCTCTCCACCTTGGCATAATCTTCCGCATTTGTGTACATGAAGGATAGATTTTCAAGTTCAGACTGCAATACATCATCAGCAAATCATTATCATCTAGCAGTTGGATGTAGTAAGCTAAGATCTCAAAGAGGAAACAATCCCCAGTTCTGAAGAAATAGGACAAAATTTGGGGACAAGAAATCAAGAATCATGTCTAATTTTGAAGGATTATAGAGAATCAATTCAAATCAAAAATCAAAAGAAGACATCAAATGCTACATTTTTCAGCAGCTCTGGACACACAGTCGTGAACATTTCAACTTACAGCTCAACAAATACCTAATTAAATAGTGCATTGTTAGATAACAAGCTTGTTATCACTAATTCTGTTATTCCATTATTGACTTTAGATGGTGATACCCAGAACTGCATTCTAAGATCAACAAATATGAATGAGAATTTCAAAAAAGTACAAAGTCAGAAGTGCCCTAAACTTGAGAAACATATTGGATAAATATATCTAGAAATTTGATCACAAGAATCACAGATGCAATGAATTAACAATCTATGTTCAGTGTCAAAGATGGAATTTTCAGCAGCATATTCAAAACTCAAAAGCATGAACAAAATGGAATTGCTATTCTGGTAAGGAAGAACAAGAGTGTACCTTGATTTGATACATTCCTAACAATTTTGCCAGAGGAGCAAAGACCTGCAATGTCTCTGCTGCAATGCTGGACTGGACATAACATGATAAAGTTAAAAATAATAATAACTAAATGATCTACAGGCCAAAAATTAACAATATAACCGCACCTGTTTATGTGGAGGCATGTGTGAAAGGGTTCGCATGTTATGCAATCGGTCAGCTAATTTGACAATGATAACACGGACCTAAAGAGAGCAAACTATTTCAGTAAGTACTTGGCTGTAACACAAATATCTTGAAAAAAAAACAATGAATAGATAATCACCTCCTCTGTCATTGCTAGAAACATTTGCCTTAAGTCTTCAGCTTTCACATCTTGTACAGAATCATTTTGATTCTTACACTTCAATTTTCCCAACTTGGATACCTAGTAGGAAAAGAAAAACTAGTTCAATTTAGAGGTTTGTTCAACCTAACATGTTATAACATTATTACAAAAGTATCAACAAAGCACCTTAGTTTCCCCTTCTACAATGCGGCGCACAGTAGCACCAAACTCCTCCTCAATTCTTTCAAAGGTAACAACATTGGTATCTTCAACTGTATCATGCAGCAATCCAGCCGCAATAGACTCCCAATCCAATTCCTAAAACAAGATTCAAAAGTCTAAGTTAGATGGCATATTGCAGCATAACAATCTTCCAATAAGAACTATGTCTAATTTTTCTGCAGAAACACACAAGTTCTCCAAGTATACGTGCAACTTCAACAGGATGAGTGATGAAGGGCTCCCCACTCCTTCTATTTTGACCATCATGTGCCTCAAAAGCTAGCTGCAAAACCAAAAGGCTACTTTCAGATCTAACTACTAGTTGTCAAAGATAAACTTGCAAGTAAGTGCGGACTAACATTTCTTTCAAAGCCAAACCTTACCTTAAGAGCATTATAGACCAATTCCAGTTCCTTACGTGAGAGATATGATATGGTAGGCATAAGATCCTAAGACAAGAACAAGAACAAGTATAATCAGCATAATTCCAACTGCAAGAGTATCTCTCTTTGCAGAACAATCACTATATTTATATAGATGCAAGGTTCGATAAGAGTCAGTAGTACCTCCCACAAACTCTCAGGTGAGACCTCATTGGAGGCACCCAAAGAGAGTGGAGAAGAACAACATAGTTGCCATTTTTTGGAAGGAACATGAAAGAAGGTTGATCTGAAGAGGTTCCCAAGCAGTGCAAAGTTTGAAGCATCAGTTGAACAGCAACCTCCTACATCAGAGCTTTCACATCTCTAGAAAGACGACAACATTTAAGTGGAAGAAATATCAGCAACCACAAATAATTGTTTGTACAGAAATTGGACTTATTGCATCATTGCAGTGAACCATATCAAATTATTCAAGCTAAAATTATAAAAGCTCTCCAAGTATAATAGCACAGTGCTTCCATCAAACAAAAGCTTCAAGCATAAGTCAAATTAATCCAAAACATTAAGAACTCAATATATTACCATCGCCTAGCAACAGTTAACACAATTTAATAATCCCGAGAGATTCTTAGAATTCTAGTAACAATAGTACTGAAATGGAAGAAACTTACAGATTTGATCCGATTTCTCCTTCCACATCGTCGGTACACAAACGATGAACACTGCGGAGGATGTGCGGTGCTGGCGAGGAATCCAGTTAAGACTCTCGGAGCTTTCCACGCACACGATAGAACACTACAGTCATACCTTCCATTCCCTTCCCCTTTCGGTAGCTTACAAATACTCACGCATTCAACAGACACTGCAACACATCAATACCACATGATTCCTCAGCGGAATAAAAAAAAAAAAAAAAACAAAAGAAAGGAAAGATTTCAGATATCAAACTCTTTCGACTCCAACTGTGATGAGAAATGAAGAAAATTAGAACTACAATAAACCAACAACTGACACAAATAGCATAAAAATAGACTATTCAGAGTCGAATTTTCTATCATTTTCTCAGTAACCAAACAAGAAACGAAGGAAATCGGAAAAAGGCAGGCAAACGAACCTGACATTGAAGGAGAAGAAACCATAGTAATCTCATTGAATCGAACTGAGCATTGAACAGCAGTCATTCAAAGAGCGAAAACGGTGAAGAAATTGGCAGCAGCAAAAGCAAAAGAGAATAGGAGAAAGGAGATTTAAAGTGGAATCAGGGAGCCTAACGTGAAGTTTCAGAGCTGGATTTTGGACCAATAAGGAATGGATTTGGAGCCGGGATGGTGAGGAGATAATCTAGAGAGAGATTTTGAGCGGAGCCACACAAAAACCGTTCGATTTAGATATTTGTATTTTTTTTTTTCTTTTCTCTTTTATACGTGTTGGTGAAATTTCCTCGCTCTTTTTTTTATTTTTACTCTTTATTTTTATTTTGCTTAACTCCCTAATTTACCCCCAATTATTATACATATCTCTGAATTTGATCCTAAACTAAAAAAATTTTTAGTTTAACCTTTATTATTTATTAATTTGATTCTAAATTTGTTTTTTTTTTAAATAATTTGTGTATCTATTATTTAATAATAAAAAATAATTATTTAACAGTTACATATCATATTAATAATAATATGTATCATTTATTTTTATAAAAAAAAATCAACTTAAATTAAATTAAGATTTATATAATAGTTGA